ATGTTCTACAAAACATATGTACAGGATTTTTAAAAGGATGGTGTTTTAAAAGTACATACATTCTTTTTTATTAACACAGTTTATTAATTATATAGGATATAGGCCTTTCTTTTATTTTCTAAATTCTTTCAAAATGGGTTAAACTTCCTGCATGAAAGTCTAGATCAAGGGTGGTGAACCTATGGCACATGTGTCCAAAGTGGCATGTAAGGAGAAATTATCTGGCAAGTAATGTTTCATATGATTTTGGTTTATCACCTGACCTTTTTTTCACTCAGCTTTTTACGTTTATTTAAATGAAAGCGTATTCATTTAATTTATTTAAATATCATTATTCAAAGTCGAAAACATTGGCGCACACAAACATTTTTAAAGCTAAGTATGCTTACAATATGACATGCTGGCTCTAAACAGTTTGCCACCCCTTTGTCTTTTGCATTTCACAATAACTTACGTATTGTGTGGGATCTTTTATACGTAAGCCTGGTACCTATTAGGGCAGCTATTTCTTTAGGTAAGGCTTGTTAAGCGTCGGTTATATTCAACTATAGTGCACTTGGAATTAGGGTTGCAATTCTGACTTCTGTTGGAAGTCGGTTGTGTGTTAGATTAATGTTTTGGCTTCCAAGCTGCCCTTAATAATCTGTTTCTTAACATTTATTAAAATTTACTAAGCAAAGTTGATAACTGCATATAATTAAAAATATTTAATATATAGCCACATAATGCACATAATTAATTAGAAAAAATTATTATTCTTTGCAAAATACAGAAGAACACAGGAGGAGGTAGACAGCAAAAGAGATTTATACATATCAGAGATCAAAGTCATCTGCAGACGGGACAGTTGCCCTTGCCCTCTCCTGGGATTGAGTAAAATATTTCACAAATTATAATCGTAAAAGTGATTGAGATACGTAACTTAAACCCTCAACTGTGGGACCCTTTGATGCAATGCTGTTCTATAATCTATTTGTGAAAAACTCCAAAAATAAATTCATTGATGTACAGTGCTTATTTGTTTCCAAGTTCTGCACCTCCAGAAAAGTTTTCTGTGAATGTTTCCCTTGCATTCATTCCAATATATGGTACACCAGTTGAGAACACTGTGATACATTTGTTAATGTAGTGAAATACTCTTACGTTGATTATTTTACAATAAAAATTTTTTAAAATTTCAGATTTTAAATATTTGGTATTAAGAAAATGTTATCTTATTTTGCCCCAAAAAGTATTCTGTTTTAATATTGATCACATTTAATTTGACTAGAGGTAGGTGGTAATGATGTCATCATGTATGTGTCTGAACGGTTTGCAAGATTTGCAGGTTCGAGTCCTGTTCCAAGTTGATTCTTATTTTCCAGAAATTTTTAAATTAGAAATTAATTCATTATAATCGCATTTAATTGTACTATGAAAAGTTACTTGAGGGTTGCTTCTTGTATGCATAATTAGTCTGTTTTAAATATAATTTAAATTTTTGATGNAATTCCGATTTTCAAACATTTGAAGTAATTGCCTCGAGTCCCCTAGGAAAGGGTAGGCCTTCGGGTACCACTTTTGTGCATTAATAACAATTTGGGTGAAATTATGCCATTGTTGGATCAACAGCACATTCTTGCAGTAAAAATAAAATTAAATTGAGGTAAATGTATATAAATTTCAATGAGATTTAATAGTAATTTTGATTTATATGCAAATTTCTATTTTTGACAAATTGAATCTGTATTCTGTATATCTGAATTGAATCAAATTATACTGTAGTGAAATTTACCTATTTATCATCATGGGAGTTTCAGTGATTGATTATATTATCATGTGATAGATTGAGAGACTGGCTTGAAAATTCTTATCTCCGACGATTACTTGTCAAAATACTTTGTCCTTGGCCATTCTGAATTTTGGATCACACTTAGATAAACGTAATGAAGTAGAGCAAGTGAGTGAGAGACTAATTTGGAGAGCGGAAGCTAAAGACGTTTCTAGGGGTGAACGCTAAAAAGATGTTCAGCATTATTAGCTCCTTTGAATAACAATATCGAAGAATTTTATAAATCAATGATAAAAATTATTTGGGACTCTGTGAGACATTGCAGCTTAGTTACTAAACAGAAGACTGTTTGTTTGCACCCTTGTGGATGGTTTGATAGTGACTGTAAATCAGCAAAAAAAATTAAAAACAGAGTATTGAGAGTTTTTTTGTAGTAACAGAAATAAAGAAAATCTTGTTGAATTTTGCAATCTTAAAACCTGTTTTTGTTCCTTGTGCAAAGCTAAGAATAAAAAATATTGGAATAGCATGAACTATTACAATTAATTACAATCAGCTAAATCTTAAAAGGAATTCTGGTCAATTATAAATAAGATAAATTTCAAGAGATGACCCGACAATAGCATTTCAATTAATAGCCGAGAAGCTTTTCTAGAGGAAAGTTTTTGTGCCCTGACCGTAGAGTTAGCTCTAAATGCTACAGTGGAATGTTTTTCTCCAATTCTAGATATCCCATTTTCCCTAAACAAACTAAAAACTACAATTGCTAAGTTAAAGAACAAATCTTCTACTGCTTCTAACGGCATCAAAAATGGACACGTTAAACACTTACCTGAAAAAATGTTTATTACGAATATGTTAAGTTTTTTGAACAGGATAATAGATTTGGCTATTTTTCCACAAGACTGGAATGATTTACAAGAAAGGGGATAAGTCTGACTCCTGTAACTATTGCCCAATTGCATTGTTGAATAATTTCAGAAAGTCATTGATTGGATTACTGTCTAGCCGATTGATTAAAAGCTATAGTATTATTTCGAGATTTTAAGGATCATTTGTCAAAGGGAGAGGAGCCAATTATAATGTTTTTATTTCAGATGCATTAATACAGATAGTCTTAGCAAGGGAAAACAAAGTTTACTTGGTTTTTGTCAACATGGATAAAGCATTTGATAAGGTCAGTCTTAACATTTTGAGTGGAAAACTTCACAGAATGAACATTTCTGATTCCTTTATTTGTCTAATTATAAACTTATTACTTAATACAAATTATCGTGTACTTCTGAATTTCAAGTTTTCTAAAAGTGTTGTTTCTAATAAGGGTGAACCCTTAAGTCCTCTTCTATTTATTTTATTCTTCAATGATCCACCTAATATTGTATTTTCTCCCATTTGGAAAGCTTGGGATTTTTTTTTAAATGAAACGGATGATTTACATTGTCTTATATACAATGACAATATACTGTTGCTGGCTGACTCTATAGAGTTTTTTTTCAAAGAAAAGAAATTGCTGACACTACAAAAAAAATAAAACGAATTATTTTAGAAATAACTTTAAACTTTTTGATGTTTTTTTTTTGAAATCAAAATGAACATAATCCCAATTTGGAGTCTCGATCTTTTGGTGGAATTGGAGAAAGTTCGGCTGCAGTATTTTAAACATCTCTATAAATTAAAACAATCGGTCCCCGGACTGATTCTTAAGTTCGAATTGGACAGACCTCCAAAAAGTCAAGGTTATGAGAATTATTTTGATATTTTGGTCAAAGATAATTGATTTGTCGTCTTGAAATTTGCTATACAATGTTTATAATGTATTATTAAAGATGGAGAAATCTGCTAAAAGAAATTGGCTGCTTTGGATCATAAAATATTTAATGACTTGGGTTATTCCTTTATTTTTTATTTTTATTTTTTGAACCAATTTCCTTTCTTATTGAGAACCCATCTGTACGAGATAATGATCAAAACCAAGACCTGTATTATTTGTTAATGTATCAAGGCTATGTTTATGATGGAGTATTTGGCTGGCAAACCAGGTATTATTTAAATTATATGTAAGTTATCTTGTTAAAAGTTTAATTATGCAATTGTGTCCAAATAAATTTCATATTATGATAAGGGGTCGTCGTTTGGAAATTTCGAATAATAGACTTTGTCTTTATTGTAAAAGCACTGTTGATTCACTAATAACTCATATCTTCGACTTTTAAGAATGAGTTTTTAAGCTTGAAAGAACTTGAACAATTTCATAATTTTTTGAAGTTATTATTTCCTTAATTAAAGCAATGTTTTCTCCTTATTTTTGAGAATTTACAATAAAATTTCATTTTTACATAGGTTTAATAATTATTTTGGTATGTAATTATTCCTATCAAATTAGATACAGGAAAACCTTGTCAGTTCAAAATTCTGGGATATAATATTCGCAACTTTGAATTATCCAAGATCTACATATTTCTGTAGAATATGCAAATGCCACATAACTGATGTAATTTATTAAGCAAACAGAACAGACTACTTATACAGAATACTATTTTCATTGAATAATAATAATAATAATGATATAAATAAACTGCAACTAAACTGTACGTGTCCAGTAAGAACCTCACGGGTTGCCAGATATGTAGATTGTATAAAAAGTAAAGCAGAATTCCTTGAAATGTAGCCCAACTTATTTTATAGTGATGCAAAAATAGTACATTGTTCATATGTAGTAGCCTGGAGCCCTACAAATATCTCAACTGCTATTTGTAGCCCAATCTTGCAATCTCAAAAACCAGTAGTATTTTATTAGATAAAAGAAAAGGGGGCAATTTATGTATCAGGTAATACCCAAAACTGTGTTACTGTAAAAGCAAAGCCATTAGAGTTGTTATTGGTCTACAGTCGACCCCCTATAACACTGTTGATAATTCCATTTTATATGAATTCCATGTTGTACGAGTCACTTAGATTTTACAAATACATGTGCCGGGCTGTGAACGACTCACGTATTTGTAAAATCTAAGTGACTCGTACAACAGGGAATTCATATAAAACGGAATTATCAACAGTGTTATAGGGGGGGTCGACTGTATTGTTCTCTTACAGCATAGAGGCACTTTGATCTAAATGAACAAGTTACATACACATATCACAGTTTGGACAGAATTTTCGCTTCAAATTAAAAAGTAGCCTTATTTCAAACTAACCTAATTCCTTGACATGTAAATCTTTTTATCTTTAGCCGGGACAAAAGTACAGATATGAACTATTGGAGTTTGAATTAACGAGGATTTCCTGTATCATTAAACTATTTTTAAATTAATTTTGGTGAGTAATAGTGTTCAAAATCACTTACTATATACAAGTAAAGCAGGAACTTGCATATAAAAAATAATGCAGTAGAATCCACTTATCATAATCACAGATAATGTAATTGGAATTATTGCTTCCCAAAACATCTAAATTTCTATTATTGTCAATGCGAAGCCCAGATGAAAGGGAAGGAATGTTAGATCATCATCTTTGGGTAAATAGGTATTTTTAAGCCATCGTTTCACACTATTGAGTTTAGTGTGTGATCGGCAATGTGAATTTGTTACCAGTTATCATTATCAATCTTAACCAGACCTTGAAATGTCAAGTATTGTTTTAATCATTACTTGTTTATATTTCGGTAGTTTAAACTTCTAGAATTTTTTATTTCAATTGTACATTAGCTAAAGATGGTACTACAAAAATACGGCTTGCATATGAGAGTTTACAAGTTACACATATTTTTAATGTCATATTCAACAAAAGCAGACTTTCCACTTACTGTAGTTTTATTTACCTATCCACATTATTAGTCCATTATCACCATCTGTATAGGAGAGTCCCAAAGTGATTACAGTAAGTGGATGCTACTGTGTATACATAGAGTGATTGAATGAAAAGTTTAATTGCAAAGAGTTGTAGACTTGGTAAACAGTTTCAAATGCTATCATTCAAGTCTATAGTAAATGAATATTCAAGATTTTAAAATGTGTTTTGCAATAAAGCAGAGATGTAACAAGCACAGTTGTCTTACAATATTGCCAGGTCTGACTATCAGCATCATTGTGTTTACTTCTTGCAAATAAACTTTTCACTTCATCACCTGATTAAATTCATTTCAGATTGATTTTATTTGCTTGAAAATTAATTTATTCCCCTTTTTAACAGGATGATCCATTTGGAAAGGAAGAAATCTCTTATTTGCTATGCAAAGTTTATATAATGAAACTTTTGTGCAAGAATGAGTTCGACCCAATCAATAGATCATTCCTTGCATAATGCAGCTACAATTAACGAAAGCAGACATCACGATACTCTTAATGGCGTCGAAGAAACCGAGCAGGCTCAACTGTTTGAAACATTACAAAATATTGTTTCGCTCGATGCAAGTACTCTGCCACAGACCACCATTTCTCAGCCAATTAATGCTAATCTACTGCAGGCTTCGGCACCGATCAGTCATATGTCAATGACGAATATGTCAATTCAATCTTCTTTGCCGCCGTTTTCCGTGCCTACAAATAACAACATGGTGTCGACTTGGTTAAATAACAATTTGCTAAAAGTACAATCTAGACCCATAGCTTCTTCAGGGATTCTTCCACCTGTTACGGAATTACATCCTGCATTGCGCGCAGCTAGCAATTTTAGATTGTTAGAACTTAACCAGTCTTCAGTCATCCCTTCTTGTCCGACGAGTATACAGCCAGTTACTCAAAACATTCTTCCAATTTCTGAGAACAGTAATAATATGAATAAAAGTCCAGTTTCCAATAAACCTCATGCTTTCACAATTGCAAACAATGATAATAATTCCCTTCATCATATTTCAGTTTCAAAGGTGAAATTACCAAATATACAACAACCATTAGTTCAGCAGTCATTACCTCTTAATTCCTTACCTAATATCTCAGTTTCAAATGGTAATCAGCCATTCGAAATGCTAACAAATAACTTAGTGACGTCGCAGTCGATGGAACCGGATAATCTAATGAATTCTCTTGTATCCACTTCATCTGTCACAAATTTATTATCGAATAATTTGATGGGTTGTAGTCCATCTTTAATAAAGGCATTTGGATTGAATGCACAAGATGAAAATCTAAATTTATCTGCAAATACTTGTAATAACGGCATGTACGATAACATTGGTAATCAAACATTACAAACTTCGGTAGCAGAAAGTCAGTATCAGAAACAAATCGTTAATCATTCTAACCAACTTTCTAACGATACTCAGACTTACTTCACAGATCTTTCTACTCAAGCATTAACATTGTCTACTCCGATATTAACTTCTTCCGGTACCGCGTCAGATAGGTTTGCGAAACATTCACCTAATTTAAATGCAGACTCTTCCGAGGATACCACTCTCTTGTCATCCATCGAAGAGACACGATGCTTCAAATGCAAGTTCTGTACATTCATTAGTCTTCACAAACATCTAGTCATATCTCATTTAAAATCATCTCATCATAAGAATTTAGAAATTTCGGAACCATTAAAGATTAGAAATGAAGTGCCCATAGAAGTGAGTAAGATGCCAGACAATAATTTAGAACAAGGGAATATTTTAATTGAGAGAGAGAATGTAAATTACAATTCAGAAGCAACTATATCCTCAAATTTGATAAATCAAAAGGATATAAATAATACTCCAGTTTCGGAAGAGACCGACAATCGTTTTCTCTGCGGTAAATGTCGTAAGGGTTTTTCGTCTCTCGAAGCATGTCGCCATCACATGGTTTCGGATCATAGTGTGAAATGGAAACGTGTCCGTCTAGAACGAATAGTCAGCACTCAGAATTCCGGAGTAAATAAGTCAAATGGAAACCAAAACGTAACTGTAAATAAATCGGGAGTTATTCTTTTGGAGTTGAACAGTAAAGGAACAACGCCGACGACAAAAGCCATAAATCAAAAGTTTAAAAAGTCGAGAGAGAATAAAAATGAACCGGAAACCAAATTAGTGATTGCAATGAAGAGACAGAGAGGAGAAGTAACTTCTCGTCAGAAATCTTGGCAAAGAAAATTAAAGAGAGAGTACGGATCATATATGTAAGTGAAATTTTATTTTATTTCTTAACAAAGTTAAACCAAGGTGATCAAATGATAATTAGTAGTAGCGTAAGAAATCTGGTGGTGCTGCAAGTTACTCGGTGATGCTTCGAGTCGACGGTACGACGAATGCGGCCAGCTCATGACATCGCTCAGAGTGACTTGTAGCACTATCAACTCCATGCACTGTTTTTCACGGGTTCTGTTTTCATTTGATCATCCTGTGTAAAGTTTCATTTAATAATTTATATTCCTAATTTCAGCTGCGAGTTTAAAGGTTGCAACATAAGGTTTCGACAGTTAGACAATTTAGAATATCATTGTAAGTGCCACGTCGCCGGTTGTTCTGCATTTAATTGTCCCGAATGCGGAAATCGCTTCGAACATTGGGGTAACATTGCCGGACATCTTTGGCGTCACCATTCTGTAGATTTAGAATTACATGCTTGTGATCAGTGTTCTTTTCGGTAAGTCCTTTTCAGATTTGACCACGGTGGGGGATTATGGGGCACATCTGAACAGATCACCCGTAAAAATTTCCTGAAGTTTAACTGCCTAAATTTTGGTCTTCTGGAGCAGTAGGCTAAGAATTAATATACTAAATACCATTGATAACCATGTGTGGCTATTAACAGTATTCAGTTACAGAAAATCTTCATTCGCCAGCT